ATTTTCCTTACTTAGAATTTGAAAAACTTCAATGCAATCTAGGCGCAATGAGACCAAAGTACGAACTATTACACTAACGATATAAAATAAAAATACCGTGCTAAAAATTCGTCCAAAATAAATAACTCATATACCAATTGAAAGATGAAACCTTAATCTATGTACTCCTGAAAAGAAAATTGGAATATCTTTCCTCGTTTTGTCAGCAACGTCCTTCAAAGCTAACACTGCGCAGGTCGGTGCACTGCACCGATGTCGGTGGCATACGATTATATAAAGGGTCGGTGCAGCACACGGATGTCGGTGCGGAAGGGTTAAAAGTGTTTAAACAAAACTTATAATAAAGTCAATGTAGGTAAACATTTGCGTAATAATTTTCCTATGCAGAATGGTATAAAACAAGGAGATGCTATATAGCTACTACTTTGCCTTAGAATATGCCATTAGAAAGGTCCAAGAAAACCAGGTGAGACTGAAACACATCAGCTGCTGCTCTATACTGATGATGTGAATCTATTGGGCGATATGATAGATACTGTAAAGAAAAACAAGGAAACGTTAATTGACACAAGTTAGAAGGTTGGTCTTGAAGTAAACACAGACAAAACTAAGTATATGTTTCTGTCTCGTCACCAAAATGCAGTGCAAAATGATGACATAAAGATAGGTAACAGAAGTTTAGAAAACATAGCACAGTTCAGATACTTAGGAATGACAATAACAAATCAAAACCTGATTCAGGAGGAAATTAAGAGGAAATTGAATTCACGTGATGTTTCATATTATTCTGTTCAGGACCTTTTGTCTTTCCATATGGTGCCTAAAAACGTAAAAATTAGAATATACAAAACTATAATGTTATCTATGGTTCTGTATGGGCGTGAAACTTATTCTCTGACATTAAGGAAGGAACATAGGCTGAGGGTAGGCGCAAGCAGTTAGTCGCTGGCTTCCCACCCTGGCGGCCCGGGTTCGATCCCGGGTCTCGTCAAGTGGGATTTGTTGTGGACAAAGTGGCGCTGGGGCAGGTTTTCTCCGAGTACTTCGGTTTCCCCTGCCATTCGCCATTCCACCAATTGCTCCACAATCACCCTCACCTATCATCTGGGGCTGGTACAATAAGCCAGAATTGGCCGCAGTACAAGGGACTTAGTCCCACCCCACTAGCAATAAAAAAAATAATAGACTGAGGGTGATTGACAGCAGGGTGCTGAGGAGAATGTTTGAACCAAAGAGAGATGAAATGACAGGATGTTGGAAAAACTGCATAATGAGGAGCTTCATAACTTGTACTCTTTGCCAGATATAATTAGAATATTCAAGTCAAGGAGGATGAAGGGGGCAGGGCATGTAGCATGAATGGAGACAAGGCCTGCATATAGGATATTGGTGGGAAAGCCAGAAAAAAAGAAATCACAAGGAAGACCAAGACATAGATAGGTGAATAATATTAAAATGGATCTTAGAGAGATAGGATGGGGTGGTATGGACTGAATTGATCTGGCTCAGGATAGGGACTAGTAGAGTGCTCTTGTGAACACATTAATGAACCTTCAGGTTCCATAAAACGTTGGGAAATTCTTGAGTAACTGCACAACTGGCAGCTTCTCAAGAAGGGCTCAGGTCAAAGGAGTTAGTTAATAAGTAATGTGGCTATATATATTATGTGCAGTGATAGTATCATCAGACCTGAATGAATAAAAACATTTCTCTTATTTCTTCATTAATAGTATCTGTGTGATGCTGAATAATTCCAGCAGTAGACGCATGATTTTCATGTCTTCACCAGTGACATTTATATTTCTGTATAAAAGATGTCCACCAAAGGATTTTAAAAAGTGTGTGTTTGTGATTCAGGTGACAAAGCAATATGAGGCAGCGAATAAGGATAAAGAGGCAATGGTAATGCGTTATGCTGTGAGCGAGAAAGAAGTGATTGACCAGAAGAGAGAACGGGAATCATTGGAAAAGAAATTCCGTGAAATGGGCAGAGAAAAAGATCTACTTGTTAGCAAACTCAAGAACATATCTTCTGAAAAGACAAGTGTCTGCAAGATGTTAGACAATAAGGTATTATTTTTTTTATTGCTAATGGGGTGGGACTAAGTTCCTTGTACTGGGGCCACTTCTGGCCTATTGTACCAGCCCCAGATGATAGGTGAGGGTGATTGTGGAGCAATTGGTGGAATGAAGATTGGCAGGGGAAACCAAAGTACTTGGAGAAAACCTGCCCCAGCGCCACTTTGTCTGCCACAAATCCCACTTGACCAGACCCAGGATCGAACTCGGGCCACCGCGGTGGGAAGCCAGCAACTAACCGCTTGAGCTGTGGCGCAGCCTCAGGCAATAAGGTAACATGTACTTTGAATTGAATGTGATGTGCACTTTGTGGCCATGAAATACTCATCATGTGAGATTTTAGGTTCTCATAGGTGTGACTACAAAGCACTTGATATATATGTGTGATGCAGTTGTGTAAATGAAACGTTTTATATGTTTTTGTTTACAGCACCCCATAGTCCATGTTTTTGGGTATATTTTTGACATGTTTGGCCACATGGGGCCATCTCAGATATATATGATGATTTGTGTAAACTGCTACACTGTATTGTGATATATTATTGCACACAAGACATGGAACACTAAAAGTTTATTTTTTAAGAACCAAGATGGATTCTAATTAAAACAATTTAAAAATGTTGTATATTCTTCTCTATCGTTTATTCTTAGTGGTGTATTGTTGTGGCTGTGGTGTATAAATAATTTCTGGATGTTTTGGGTTTCAAGCACCCTGGTGGCTAGTGTGCATGAACTACATGTCTTATGTGCCTTGAAATATCAGAATCCAGTGTGGCAGTTTATATGAATTATCATATGTGCCTGATGATGGCCCCATGAGGCTGAAACATGTAAATTCAGAAGGGCCAAAAAATGTGTACATGTAATGTACAGTGTGTAGTGTGATATTCTCTCAAAAGACGGTGCTAGTCACATGAATGCCAGAGCCACCTTATCAAATGGCAGGATAATCAAAGAAAATGGTGGCAGGACCATGTGTACACATTTTTTTAACCCATCTGTATGTATGAAAACATGGACTAAATGGTGTTCTAACGAACATCCTACCAAGTGTTGCATTTACATGCAGAGTATATTTTAGAGAATTAAAAATATTACCAGTACAGTCTCAGTATATATATTAACTTTCATTTGATTTGTTTCATTCTGGTCCATCACACTAACAATTACAAATATAAATCACTCTGTCCAATGTGACCTGTAAGTTTATTACTACATGAAAAACTTAACACCCTTACATGCTTCGGTCTCTGCGGACCATCTTCAGAGGGCAAACATCACTACAAATAGGAAACCACCTTCACATAAGTTGTTTAGACATAAAGTACGTACACTTATATGTTACAATGCATAGTACACAAAATAGAACATTTCACAAACACAGCAGTTTTTACATTCCCAGGAAACTGCTGTGTTTGTGAAATGTTCTATTTTGTGTACTGTGCATTGTAACATAAGTGTACGTACTTTACGTCTAAACAACTTATGTGAAGGTGGTTTCCTATTTGTAGTGATGTTTGCCCTCTGAAGATGGTCCGCAGAGACCGAAACATGTAAGGGTGTTAAGTTTTTCATGTAGTAATAAACTTACAGGTCACATTGGATGGAGTGATTTATATTTGTAACTTTCATTGTTTGTGATCAATAATAAACATAATTTTAAAGTAAATTCTGAGATAAGTAATATTAATTCATTCATTCATTCATCAGTAATCTGTCAGACGACAGGTCCACAGTCTCTTCCAAAAGAGCTCCTCCATTTAATGCGATCACAAGCTTTCTCCTTCAAATAAAAATATCCTCTTCTATCCCCAAGGTCATCCAGCATCTTCTTACGTCTTCTTCCTCGTCTTCTGGTAATATTATTACTAGGACCAAATCTCATTTGCATCATCCACTGTCTCATTTGTCAGTTTATCAGATGAGAACATGTTATACTGGGATTAAGGTGTTTAACAGTCTACCTGTTCCAATAAAGGATTTAAACAATTTAAAACAATTTAAATCGGCCTTGAAACAATTTTTGTACTTCCATTCATTTTATACGTTAGATGGATATTTTAAATACAAGATGAATTAAATTTATAATGCTATACAAATTAATTTATTATAATGTTATATATATGTTTATGTATTTAGGCTGTGATCTTAATAAGGTATTACTGTCAAATTGATGAGTCCTACGCTTTGCTCCATGCAGATTGTGACTACAGAGATTATTGTCTTCTGGGATATGATGCCATGTAGTCTGTTAGATATTTATGAATGTTTCAGAGGAATCTGCTGCCACCATCTTCAGGTGCCATGAAACAGGAGGCAGTAAGTTTCCTGAACCACTGGTAAATAATACCAGACTACACAGCATCACACCCCTGAAGACAGTGATCTAAACACCACATTATACTCTTGTGGCCATAAAGTATTTCTTCTGTATTTCAGTGTCACGAGCTGTCTGCTGCACAGAAAGAAAATGAGAAATTGAAAGATGATCTCATTTCTCGTGAGATCAAAATAAAGTGGATCCAGAATAAGCTCAATACTGAACTGGATGCTCATAAGGTAGTAATTTGCAAACCTACGTGATCAGTTTTTATTATCAAGTTTTTGCTTCTGGAGTTTAGCGTGTGAATGCTGCATAGAACATCGAAGTTTTTTCAGCATTTCAGCAAACATTGCAGTTTTCATCTGCAGGATTGGCCTTAACCTTACAGCTGTCAACTACTATGGTTGCCAAAACATTCTAATACCTCCGTTGTTCTGCGCAGCATGTTATTGAAAACAAAAATCATACATTGCATGATCTGGTGTTTTTTTATATATGGGGGCACGCAGTAGCATAGTTGGTTGAGGCACTATGCTACACGCCGAAAGGTCACANCTTCTGTATTTCAGTGTCACGAGCTGTCTGCTGCACAGAAAGAAAATGAGAAATTGAAAGATGATCTCATTTCTCGTGAGATCAAAATAAAGTGGATCCAGAATAAGCTCAATACTGAACTGGATGCTCATAAGGTAGTAATTTGCAAACCTACGTGATCAGTTTTTATTATCAAGTTTTTGCTTCTGGAGTTTAGCGTGTGAATGCTGCATAGAACATCGAAGTTTTTTCAGCATTTCAGCAAACATTGCAGTTTTCATCTGCAGGATTGGCCTTAACCTTACAGCTGTCAACTACTATGGTTGCCAAAACATTCTAATACCTCCGTTGTTCTGCGCAGCATGTTATTGAAAACAAAAATCATACATTGCATGATCTGGTGTTTTTTTATATATGGGGGCACGCAGTAGCATAGTTGGTTGAGGCACTATGCTACACGCCAAAAGGTCACAGGTTCAAGTCCCGATGAAGTCATTGGATTTTTTCAATTGAGTTAATCCTTTCATTATGATAAAGTTGAAGAGTCGTTTCCTTTGTTACAAGTACATTTGTAAGTGCTTATTGTTTGTGTTTCATGAAATAGCTGTATTTAGAAATGGAATAAAAAGATGAAAGAATTGCAGGACGGTAAATGACTGGAACCCTGATAGATCAGTCAGTTCAGTGACTAGTCTACGAGCTGGATGACCAAGGAATTATGGTTTCTTTTGCGGCAGGGACAAGAGATTTTTTCTTTTCCACCGTGTCCAGACCATTTATGCGGTCCTCTCAGTGTTCGTCCAGTGGGTACCAAGGTTTCTTTTCCCATTGATAAAGTGACTGGGGAGTGGTGAAGCTAATCTTGATTTAGTGCCAGAGTTAAGAATGCATGGAGCTATATCTCTGTTCCTCATGATGTGATGCTCAATTAAGCACAGACAATTTTATAGTAAATTATTTCTAACAAGGAATTTGGACTGATGTAGGTTCACTTGTGAGTTCTGGTCTTGTTTAAAATTTATGTAATTATGATTTATTTAGAAGTGCTGGCACTATCTTTGATTGTACAGTGTGAATGGTAGGACAGTTAGTGAGTAATAAACTGGAAAATATGTCATATTCTAATGTGAAGTTATTATCCTGGTATTTGTCTGTAGGAAATGAGGAAACCCACAGAATTTCTCAGCCAGCTCTGCTGCCAGGAATCAGACCTCACACCTCCTGAAAGCAAGTCAGAAGCAGTTTCTTAGATTATGAACATTATAGTTACATTGTATGATAAACATGTAGGTTTGTTACAGGAGACACAGGCAAAAGCGGACAAGTTGCTCCAGAAGCTGCAGGAAATGCGAGAAGAATCAGACCAGGTTCGACGAGACTGCCAAGCAATGATACAGGCATACCAGGAGTCCCAAGAGAACAAGGCCCATACCCTAGGTACTTCCTTATATTACCTCGTATATCTTTAGTGTCAGGTTTGCCACTTTTCTGCCAAGTTATTATTACAGGAAACATTGCTATGCCAATTGCTAATGTAATCACACTGTATCCTTGAATTTGATCTCTTATTCAAATTGATAACATTAATGCAATTTTTAGCAGCACTGGTTGTGCAGTTCTTGGGGTAAATCATGCAGACAAGATACTGAAATCACATTATTGAATACAAAATTATGCAGTATGGTTCTGTGAATTTAGAGAAGGTACTTAGAGATGCAGGCATCAACACAAGGGGAACTGTATTCTATAAGTCAGTTCAAATTTTGGAATTTGCGGATAATATTGGTATAATTGGTAGAACACAAAAATCTATGAAAGAAGCTTTTCTTAATTTGGAAAGAGCAGCAAAAAAGATGAATCTACAAATTAACCAAAATAAAACAAAGTACATGCCGGTAACCAAGAAAGACTGTGCTAATGGACCTACATATTTTGAAATTGGCTCATATAAATTTGAGGCTGTATGTAGTTTCACTTACCTTGGATCAGAAATTAACTGTAAAAACGATATCAGTGATGAAATAAAAAAGCATGTACTTGCAGTAAATAAATGTCTCCATGGCCTTAGGAAACGCCTGAAATCCACACTAATACCCAGGAAAACAAAACTATGATGTATAAAGTACTTATACGATCAGTGCTATCTTATGCCTCTGAGACCTGGCCACCGTCAAGATCGGATGAAAGACTGTTAAGTATATGTGAAAAGAGGATCCTGAGATATATCTTTGGACCAGTGGAAGAAAATGGAATATGGAGGAAGAGGTATAACCATGAGCTATACAAATGGGCCGGACACATAATACATACCAACGAGAATAGAACAATTAATACTAAATACTTAATACTAAACCAAAAGGAAATAGGAAAGTGGGAAGACCAAGATTGAGATGGGAAGAATGTGTGTGGCAGGACATAAGAAATTTGGGCATAAAGAACTGGAGGAATGTAGCATCGAATGGAGAAGAATAGCGAGCAATCCTGAGGAAGGCCAGGGCTCACAAAGGGCTGTCATGCCAGTGATTATGAGGAGGATGATGATGGTTCTATGAATGTGAATGTAAATACGTACACTAATCAGTCTCTGTTGTATTTTATTTTACTTATCATTTGACCACCTCTGTGGTCTAGTGGTCAGAGTTCCTGGTTACAGATCCAGAGGTCCCAGGTTCAATTTCCGGTGCTACTAGATTTTCTGAGAAGCAGTGGGTCTGGAACAGGGTCTACTGAACCCCATGAGGATAATTGAGGAGCTATTTCAAGGAAATATTGGCTCCACTCTAGAAAACCGACATTAACAGCCATGGGGATCTGTTGCGCTGAATGCCACCCTCTATCCAGCGAAGTTGGTAATAACTTCGTCAGGCGGCAGTCACTTGGTTGGTATAGTTCACTTGCGGACTCAAGCCAAGGAAGTTTTTCTTTTGTAACAATGTTCTCAGTACTTTGGGTTTTATAACGTTGAATAATAGGATGATTAGTGAGTGGTGAATTTTAGTAGGATGTGGAAGGAAGCAGTTATGGCTTAATTAAATACATTATCTTTGCATTTGCTTTGGGGGATTGAGGAAGACAAGAAATTTGTTTGAATAGCCAGCCTGTAGGCCAGAATTGAAACCTGGGACCACCTGAATATGAAGCAGGAATGATAACCACTTTACTCAAAATCTTTGGAATTTGTTTTACGAGATTTATTTAGATAGAGCCTATAATCTCTGTTTTGCTACCATGTATGTAATAAGTCTTATATTAACTAATGTAGTATAATTACAGATGAACAGTTGAAAGAGCAGCAAGCAAAGCTGATCTTGGAGCGACATGAACGGGAAGATAAAGAGGAAACTCATCGGCAGCTACAGCACGAGGTAGACAACCTGAAGAGAAAGCACCAACTTATCATAGATGAGAACAACCTCTTGTCCATCAAGGTATATTAATATTAGCACTGCCTTCAGGGACAGTTCTAACATTTATCATTCATGCATGACATTATTGAACACTGCCCAGCTGTCAGCTATGTAAAAGTAAAATACATAAGTAAAGGTATCCCTGTAACAGGCCATGGAGGCCCATAGGGTTGTTTGATGTTGAGGTTCCCACACTTTCTAGACATTCGGCTAATAGATGGCAGCAAGGTTGTCAGACCTACACACCAGCCGCCCTTTACCCCCAAGAATATTCTTGGTACTCATTTCAGTTAGAAGCTGAGTCGATCCCAGGGCCATAGTGCGGCTGGAAGGATTAGGTCAATTGAAAAAATCCAGTGACCTCCTCGGGTCTTGAACCCGCGACCTTCTGGCTTGTAGCATAGTGCCTCAACCAACTACGCTACTGTGTGCCTCCGCTCAAGTGGGAAACTTCTTCTTTTTGTTCTAGACATTATCCCTTTTAATTTTCAGCGTAGTCCATAATGGATTTAATATGAGCTGACTTTTAAACTATTCCAGCCGCATCTCCAGTCTTCTCTTCAGAAGTAGAAGTCTCCCCTATTCCTTGATATGCTTGGTTTGTAGTTTTATGATAGTTTTGGAAGTCTGTTTCATTGCATTCTATCTACGTGCTGAATCCAGTTGGTTCTATATTTCAAAAAGTTATATTAGCAGGGGTTTTGTTTTTCTAATTCCTTTATGTGTCTTCATTACTTTTATGGTTCATTTCAACATCTGTAATTCTGTTTCTTTTTCTCTCTTTCATTCATCACTTTTTACTGCCATATAAAAGTGTCAATAAGGCTAGATTATAGTAAAGTTCTACTATGGTGTGTTCCTGGACTTGTGATGGCCTAAAGTTATGATAATGAGACATGTTACTTCTAGAAAGCTCAAAGCTTAATTCCCCATGCTGTGTTGATGCTTATTACAGGTCCAGAACCTGGAGAAGGAGAGGCTTGAATATGAGCAGAATCTGTCAAAGCTAAAAAGATTGTCAGACCGACAGCGTCAAGATGTTGTGGACCTTCAGGCACAGGTAGCAGAGATGGAGTCACTTAAGATGCAACTCCAGCAGTAAGTGTCTGCATATGAGATGTACAGGGTGTTCCTAAAAGAATGGTGGGGTTTTAGATACGTATATATTTCGTATTTCTTACCGTGTACAATCATAACACGTGTCAGTCGGAAGCTTAACTGTCCAAATTTTATGTACATCCATCAAAGTGCCTCTATGTGCGCACCTTTCGTTACCCGGCACACATCAATGCGATAGTCGAATTCCTGCCACACCTGCTGCAGCATTTCAGGTGTGATGGTCTCCACAGCACGATTGATTCTGTTTTGGAGATCCTGGAGTGATTGGGGCAATGGGGGTACATAAACCATGTCCTTCACGTACCCCACAAAAGAAATCACATGGAGTTATGTCCTGGGATCGGGGTGGCCACTGGAGAAGGGAGGGCATCTTCACCTGCAGCACATCCAATCCATCGTTGCGGAAGGACCAGATTAAGCAAACCTCTCACAATGCTATGGAAATGTGGGGGAGCACCGTCCTGTTGGAAAATGTAGTCATTGGAATCATTGGCCAGTTGTGGAAAGAACCGCATGTTTCTAACAACATTTCACACCTCCTAACTGTCGGAAATGGAACTAGGAAAGAGCGCAATATACAAAATGAAAATTTGAGGGCCGCGTTATGAGTCCATATACGTTTTGCTTTTCGTCACCAAAAACTGATGGAGATATACGGCAATGAAACCCCACTATTCTTTTAGGTACACCCGGTATAATTCCCTTGTATGTTGCAGCTGAAGCCACTGTTAATTAGTTGGTGCTACAATCTTTACATTTGCTTCCAGAATTTCTTACCAAAAATAAGTCAAAATCCATATAAAATTTCAGTTTGAAAATCAGAAGAGAAAACATTTCTTGAAAGATCTAATATAGATTGGAGGATAATGTTAAAATGACTTCTGAGGAAGCTGAATGTGAGGATGTGGACAGGATTCATCTGGCTTAATACAGCCCAATGGCAGGCCCTTTTGAACACAGTAACACACCCTCAAGTTCCATAGAAGGTTTGTATAGTTGAATTAGCTTAAATTTCATTAATTGATCTGTCATATTATGCTTGTACCTTGTACCTTCAGGGTTGTTCGTTAGCTCGGTAGGTCAGTAAATACAGTTAATAATGAATTGGAAAGAATATGGAAGGAGGTGGTCATGGCCTGATCTGAGCTTCTGTCCCAGAATTTGGCTGGAGGGACTGAGGAAAAGCATGAGAAGGTTCAATCAGGATAATCAGTCTCTGGGCTGAAATTTCGATGATGGCCCTCCTAACTATGAAGCGGGAATGGTAACCACTGAACCATGGAATTAGATTGTATTCATTAGTAAACATGAATGGAATAAATAATAGAGGAATCACTTCATTTCATTGACTGCTAAGCCCCACCATACAACTAAGAGGACATTCCATATATGATGCCTCCTATTTTTTTTAATGAAAACTACAACAGATACAGAAAGCATAATAATACAGTTAAATAGACCAAAAATTTCAGCTACTTACAGTTATTTTTCCACATAATCACCACCATTCGTTATGCACTTTTGCCAGCGATGGGCAAGAGACTGTATGCCGTGCCCGTAAAAGTCTGCACCAGCAGAGGCTAGCCACTTTCTTACAGCTGCAATGACAGCATCATTGTTTGGAAAATGTTGCCCACGTAGTCCATCTTTCATAGGCCCAGAGAGACGGAAGTCTGAAGGTGCTAAACCGGGGCTATAAGGTTGATGTGGTAGGACAGTCCAGCCAAACTTTACAGTGTGTGTGGTGGTCGCCAAACTGGTATGGGGTCTAGCATTATCGTGTTGCAAGCGAAAGGTTGTCTGCTTCTCTGGCCTGACTTGGGAAATGCGGGCTTTCAGCTTAGTCAGCGTCATCGTGTAGCGTTCAGAATTGACAGTCTCACCAGGCTCCAGGAAATCCAACAAACTCACATCCCACGTATCCAAAAAGACCGTGCACATCACTTTCCCTGTCGATGGCTGTGTCTTGAACTTCTTTTTTCTTGGGAAATCCGGATGTCGCCACTCCATGGACTGTCTTTTGGATTCCGGCTCGTGGTCGTGACACCACGTCTCATCTCCAGTGATGATGCTGTCCAGAAACTTGTCATTTTCAGCCTCAAACTGGTGCAGCAGGTCCCAGCAGACTTCCATTCAATGAGTTTTGTGGTCCTTTGTAAGCATCCACGGGACCCACCTGTAACAAATTTTGTGATAATCCAGCTTCCCTAACATAGTTTCCAGTGCATTACAGCCAATATTAAGCTGTGCACACAGTTCCCTGGTCTTTATCTGCCGATCTGTACGGATGAGCTGATCGAGGTCCTGTCAATTGTGAGGAGTGGCAGCTGAGCCGGGACGCCCAGGCCATGGCTTGTCATGCACTTCCCTTTTGCCACTGTTGAAACACAGTACCCACTGCCTCACTGTGCTGACATCCACTGTATCATCTCCGTACACCTTTAGCAAGCGTTGATGGATGTCAATGGGTGCAATTTGTTTGGCAGTGAGAAATTCAATAATACATCTCTGGTTCGTACGCACTTCTATGTCAGACGCCATTTTGGTAGACTGCTCTGCTGTCGCTATCTGTTGCACGACAACCAAACTAACAGTACATTGGCGGGAAGGTTCAACCTTTACTATAACACCACCAACATCCAGCTCAGACGTTACATATTAACACAAAAAATAGGAGGCATTATATATGGAACACCCTTCATACTTGCTAGAAATACTAAAACTGTTTAGGAGTAAATGCAGTTGCACATATAAACCCACAATTCTTCCCTCAAATGACCTTCAAACAACAGCAAGTGTAGTTCATATGAAAGCATGGATATCAGCATATCACACTTGATACCATCTGTTGACAGAAGTACTATACTAATTGATTAACAGTGGTCCAGTCTCTTCAGCTATAATGGTTTTAATACCAGTACCATGAGCTAGTCTAGTGGTACATGGCATGCAAAGGATCAAACCAAACAGACTCCTAGTGTGACAGTTTGCTTTATTCATATTTGTATATGTAGCATGAATGGGGAGGAGAGAAATGCATATAGGATATTGGTGAGAAAGCTAGAAGGAAATAGACCACTAAGAAGACCAAGATATAGGTGGGTGGATAATATTAAAATGGATCTTAGACTGATAGTATGGGGTTGTATGAACTTGACTGATCTGGCTCAGGATAGGGAGCAGTGGAGGGCTCTTCTAAGCACAGTAACGAACCTTCAGTTTCCATAAAATGTTGAGAAATTCTTGAGTAGCTGCGTAATTGGCAGCTTCTCAAGAAGGGCTCATCTTCATGGAGTTAGTTAATAATGAACATGTTGATACATTACTGTTAAGTGAACAGGAGAAGCTGGGAGCAAGTCATGGTGAAGTGGAGCGCCTAAGACTGAGTAATGCTGAGCTTCAGCAGGACATGGCAGCGTGTCGAGAACGGGAAGCAGAGTTGCTGGATTACACACAGAAACTCACAGAAAAGAATGTTCGTCTGCAGTTGGAGTTCTCTGCCACAGAAGCCAAGGTAGCATAGTGTTAAGGTTATGGTCTTCTGGAATGCTACATTGTTGTACTGTACCCCAGGTGGATGCCAGTGCTTCAAGGGACATGCTACCTTCATCTGGCTACAGACTACATGGTGTCACATCACAGAAGACCAAGGTCTGAACATTCTCTGTTATGAGAAGCGCTAACATTATGAGAGAGTAGAATTCTTGAATTGTGTATGTAAAATATCTTTGGGTTAACCTTTAAGTGACGGCCCTTTAAATTCCGGTAATGGCAGCGGGACGGATTTGATTTAAATACCCGCAATTTTAAAGCAATAAAAACTGTAATCATTTCCTAAAATTGCTGTGATTTCTACAATTTTTGTGATAAACGAACCAAATAAACGCTGTTTTTTCTAGAAAGAATATAGAATCAGATATTGTAATTTACAGACTTTATAAAATGTGTACAAATTTTTAGACTGATTCCAAGTATAAAATTCCCAAATTTATCGTCTGTCTACAAGAATTCATACAGTTCTTGGAACTAAGAATGCTGTATGTAGATGTGGCAACACAGCGGATGGTTATGTAGGCATGTTTAGTCTTGCATGTCTCGAAGCTTATACACGTACCTTCTTTCGGTATGCAGAGATGTGGGCGTGTATATCTCCGTTTATAAGAACGTTGATTGTTTATACACAACAAGTTCTCTGTTCTGACCAGGCTCAGTTAGTTTATCACAACTCTCAAGGCCAAGCACAGCCAAGCAGTGTCATACGGCTTCAAAGTTTCGCAGCGAGAACAGTGATATTGTCAGCTCACCATGGCGTCGTCTCGTTTGGAAGATGCAGACATTTTTCAACTCATAAATGACTCCAAATCAGATTGTTTTACCGACAGTTCTGAGAGTGGCGTTGAGGAAAGTGATTCAGAAATGGATTTCGACAAAGACCCATCATCTTCGTCGGCAACTTGGGGACCACCGCACCAGCGTGGCAAGAGGAGTGTGAATAATTATTCAGGTGGAGCTGTTGGGTTAAATACCAATGAAGCTCCACACGTGAATAAGGATTCCACCCCTTTCTGCGTTTTCATGCTGTATTTCACAGGGATTATCCGTCTGCTGGTGGAAGAGACGAACAGGTACTACCATCAGCACGTAGACAGCGGAACATGCTGGAGCATGCTGGTAGGGGCCCCCCTCGCCCTCAACGGCCCAGGGGTCGAACCCCTGCCGTTTCATCGGGGTCATTTCGAATAGAGGAGGCCAAACAACAGCACTGGCCTACTTCCTCTACTTCGAAATTGACGTGTCGAGTGTGCTCTTCGTGTGGGAAACGAAGAACCGTCCAGATAAAGTGCGTGAAGTGTGATGTGGGACTCTGCGTTTCCCGATGTTTCCAAGATTTCCACACGAAGCCAACATTCCATTAGACGACGCAGGTGGGAAGAGAGACAACTTATAAAGCTGGTGACCAAAAATCATGTAAGTAGAAAAAGAATTTATAACTTAAAATTAGATTTTAAAAAGCCGGCCGCACGCGTGGACTGCGTGACGACATATGGCATCATTTGTCCCCTTGACTTTATTTTAATGACGCCATATGGCGTCGCTCGGCTCTTAAAGGTTAACATGTAACAACATGTTTAAAAATTATGTGTCTTAGTAACATACTAGTTAGAATAGTAAAACAAAAAGTTCTGGGAAGACCTAATCACATCCTTTACTTTTATATGACACAGACCGCATACAAAACAACATGTCCAACAGTTCTTTTGCTGTTGCTTGTGTAACTGTTGCAATGGTCATGCTTTTACCGAGCCATTGCCTATTAATGATAGGGAGATACACATACAGAAAGCTGATGGGAGGGATTCATGAAGTGCACTGTTCACATGAGCTCATATGACATGATATACATACCAGGTTTCATAAAAACAGGTTCAGGCATTCATAATTCAAGGGGGGGGGGAGATTCACAGACACAGACAGCATGGAAATCATGTAAGCCTACTTTGATTTTTCAAAATAAGGGAGGGAGGCTAATAAAATCATCAGGTTTATTATTTACCTTTAGGACTTCAGTTAATGATCATTACATTGATGATGATAAGGAGGAGGATGACAGTGATGACACTCAAATTCTCACCCCCCCCTTACTCTGTCACAAGTTTTTTTTTGCATGTGTCTATCAATAAAGTTTCGGTATTGATCAAATGGCTGTTAAATTAATATGTTCATGTAGATGATTACCCTCAAGATGGAAGCAGCAGTATCCTCCAAGTCCTTCACACCTGTCTACCAGGATACAGAATTTCACATCCCAGAAGACAGTAATATTCATAGTTACCACTGTGAGGAGTTCAGATCTCACAAATCATTTATTCTTAACAACAGTGAAATAAGTGATTTAATTTGCTTTAAGTGACATTTAGAAGCTACATACATGCACACCTGTAAAATGTTCGTTTATACTTGTTTTAAGTGAAAGTATCCATTAATATGCTCCAGACATTTTATGACCTGAAATGATAAGTTGTGAAGGTTAAGATGTCAATCCAGTAATACCAATTTTAATATCATTCAGTATGTGAACGAACGTCTGCAAATGCATCGTCAATATGTTGAGATGATATTGTACCATGATTTTCAGAACTGATGCAAATGAAAGGCCACAGGTATTTGAAATATTTGGTTTGCAAATCAATGAGTTTGACAATGGACTGCTGAATTGTGATTGATGAAGCTGTAATGTTATGCAAACATCTTTATATAATGTTGCAGGCACAGCTATTAGAGTGTGAACAGGGTCCTCTGCAACGGCAGATAGGTGAACTTGAAAACCGTGTTTCATCACTGAGCCAGCAGCTAGAGAAAGAGCAGCAGCAACGCCAGGACGAGAACCAGCTACTGGCGCGTCACCTTGCTGAGCAAACGCAGCGTGCCGATGTGCTTGCACAAGAGCTGGAGGACCAGAAGGATGAAAACCATGTGCTGCGTCGGAGACAGGCATCTGCACTTAAGGTGAAAATTGATAATATTATTTCCCTCATAATCATGTTTAAAGAAAAAGATAGCAGTATGAAATGAGGGTTTCAAGTTGAAAACTTTGGCATTCATTATGTCGATAATGAGCAGAAGTATCCAGTCGTAACCCAGAATGCAGTTCAATATCGCAATCAAAACTTTAAAGAAGGAATAACACATAAATATAGAAATTAAGGTGTACTTGTGTAGTTAAAAGAAGATTGGGAATGATGATTTAAATTTATTACAGGGAAGAGATACAAAGTTTTAATTGGAAAATCTGAAGAAAAGACATTATTTGCAAGACATAGGCTTACAAAGAGAGATTAAAATGGATATTAAGGGGATCATGTTTGAGAATATGGACTGCATTCATTTGTCTCAGAATACAGTATGGTGGTGGTGGGCTGCTGTGGGCTTCAATAAAAGGAAATTTCTTGACTAGCTGAATGACTATTTGTTTCTCAAGAAGAACTATTCCCCATGGAGGTAGTTATATAAATATTCAAATTTACTGTATTATAAATCAGTGTCTCCTAGAAATGTATGTTGCATAACAGTGGTATGCTGCTAGAACAGTAGAAATGTAATGCACGATTTGCCTATAGACTTCTTTACTGTACTACAAGTCTACATTATTCTGAATGAAAACATAACCCCCAAAAAATATTTTGCATGATGGATCATGTTTTCTTGTCATCATAACAGTGAAGTGTCACGAAAACCAGACCCTTCAGTGTGCCTCCATTTATGAAATAAGAACAAATTGAGCCACTGATATAAGACTGGGAAATTGTGCCTGAGTTATTGCTATTCCATTGGACCTGTGGACTGCTGTGTTCAGGAGCTGATGAAGGATTTGCAGCATTGCCGGAAGAGACTGGATCTGTATGAATCTTCAAGTGGCAGCAATTCTATTGGGCAAGGTTCTCGAGCTAGCTCTTGCAATTCTCTCAACACTGTAGAAGGCAGCACAGTTAACACAAACAGCAGCAAGACCTCAGCAGGAGGACAGATCTCCCCAGGCGACTCTACCAGCAACCAGGTATTTTGTGCCATGTCCATGTGCACTATAAACTATGCACAGAGATATCTGTGGTTTGTACAGTGGTGACTATGAAGATTACAGTCTTCCCAGATATAATGCTTTTATATTATCAGTGTTTCAGAGGAATGTGCTTTTTCCGTTTTTAGAGAGGACCCTGGAAATAACAGGTTCTTCTGAAACATCAGAAAATATTTACCAGACTACACAGCATTACATACCAGAAGGGAGTAAATGATTGTTCAGCCTGTAGACTAGTCACTGTACTGACTGAGCTGTCCTGGTTCAGGCAGTAGAAGTACATACATACATATGTTTTGTCTGTCTGAAAAAAGTGGTTCCCAACCCCACAAAAAATAAATTTTTAGTGTGAAATTCAGTAGAAATAATGCTTTCTAATTTCATTTAACCATCACTCATAATTTTTAATCTTAATATTAGAAAACAAAAATTAGAGTCATTACAGTCCATTCAAGGAGACGAGACAGTTAGCGTAAACAAAGCAAGCCCCGCGTCGCCACAGCTGACAGCAAGGAGTGGACAAAGCGCGCAGTTACTCAGTGTACTCACTGCATTCGGACGCACGTTAACCTGCATTCAGACTGAAGAGTGAACTTTGGATGCCCCTGCAACGGTACACCCATCACGTGATCGCTGCTTGATTTCATTCAAAGAGCGAAGGATATACCGTGTGCATTTGTTTACAAGGACTCTCTCGTCTCCGTGAATGGACTATAGATTTCAACATGCAGCATTTTTGTTGTAAAAATGGGGGGG